AATTGTTGTATATAAAAGTATTGTTGCTCTGGAAATTGTCTTGTGCGAGCTCGGATTGAGGATCTTAACGTAAATGGGTGCTAAGAAAGTTATAGAAGATTTTTCGGTGACATTACAAAGTCGTCCGAGTGTGAATGGTGTCATTTATCTTACTGGGGATAAAGTTAAAGGATTTATTAGATTAGAAATTACTCAACGTTTAATTTTGACATGTAAGTATTAATGAATAAAATATAATAGTAAGGAAGAAAATGTATACAAGAAATGTTATTAAAATTTATTTGAAGAATTTGCAATGTGTATTTTTGTACGGAAATTTGCATGTATTGGCGTTCATCTTCATGTAAATTAAAGGATCGCCATGACAATATGGTTAAGGTTTAACATACGCCCCTGATAACCGTTGGTTCGAATCCCGCAAAAGGCTATTGACTATTTCATGTGAGGAAGATACCTAGCTAGCTTTTATGTACAGGACAGTGCGCAAAATAATTTTTTCTGCAGTATCTCTTCTTCATCATATAAGTAGTGGTTGTGTAACTTAAAACCTTACATAAATACAATTTTCAAAAATATTAAAGTAAGGCTTGATATCTGGAATGTTTATATATTTATTGGCTGAAATTCGTTTTTATATCGAAAATAAAAGTAATAGAATATCTGTTATTTATGAAAACTATGGACATGAATATCGAACCACATCATACTTATCAAATCATTTTTATAGCATGTATAATAAAGTAACAATATATTTTCATCTTATTCATTATTCTCCTAAATCATTTTAATAAACAGTAACACGACAATAAACTACGTACCAGTCTTGAAAAGTTTACATAGAAAGAATGTAAAACAGTTAATGTTAAGATAAAACATTGAAAGGTTTCTGTTTTATCAGATTGATGTTACGATAAGTTTATCTTAGTTGATAAGATAGCTTGGGTCATAAGTTTAAAGACAATTTTATTTTTTTTAGATTACAGCTATCTCTGTAATTGATTTAGTAATGCCATGGATTTAACGACCAAATTGCTAGTTCGTTTTTTTTTCTTATTTTTTATGTATAGTAAATTCCTCCAGCTCTTGTAATTAATTGCTATTCCAAGCTCAGTTTTTATTTGTGAAACCAAGTAAGTTTTGAAGACTCGGTGCTGGAGGGCATGACAATTGTTGCTTTTTCCCCATTAACAGACTCAATCAAACCGGTTCTGCAAGTTTAATTTTTTAAACATTGTTGACATTTCTATGGACGGATCTTCGCGTTTCAAAGTTGAGATCAATGCAATAATAAAATAAAAGAAACAACGATTGTCAACACTTTGATAAAGAGTATGGCTATAGTAAAATACTAGTTATTTTGTAATAAACTATTTATATATCTATAGCTTGTTACTGTAAGTCATGTTTTTTTTTTAATTTTCTGAAAATAAAACCTAATTATCTTTTGTTTAGTCATTTAAAATGTTGTTTTTAAATCCAGTGGTAAAGGATTTAAACCTTGTCTAGATATTCAGACTAGTGTAAATACTGAACCGATAAATCTTATATTTGTAAATGGAAAATAAAAAAAAATACTGAATTATATCTATTTTTCTTAAGGCACAAAAGATTTACTAACAGAACGGAAATTGCAGCAGGTGTTTTATCGTATTGATAAAAATGAATCGAGAAATTAAAACGAACAAACGAACGAATCAACCAACCAACCTACGAACGAACCCAACCAACCATCTAATGCATATGATGCTGAAGGCACTTTGTTGGTTAATGCAAACTCTTTTCGGGAAAATGTTTGCCTTCTCTTTACTTATTTTTCTACTATTATTGTTATTATGATGTGTTATCTCCTTATTATTAGAAATGCCAGAAACAACACTTCACTAGGCAGTTAACAGACCGTTATCTAAGAAAACACTCCACTAATCTTTTCGTCGAATGAACATGTTTTATTGTTTTTATTCGACTCTAAAAGAGCTAACTAATTAAGTATCCCATTTAAGTATCCCATTTAATTATTGTTCTAGCCCCAGAGGAGATGATTTTATTTCATGAAGTCTCAGCTTAATTCCTGCTTTATGATACAATTATTAAATTTTCTCTCCTAGAGAATATAACACCCAAGTAACGGCCCGAAGACTTTCAATTACAAATCGCAAGGAAACTTTGCAACTGTTGCAAATTTCTTCTTCAAGGATTGACGAGATTTATGTTTTCACCAGTCGAAAAAAAGCACAAAACTTAAAAGAAAAATTAATTTCATTTCAACACGCTGTTTAAATGAGCATGCATCATTTTGACATTTTGAAAATAGCATTTTTTCAGGGAAAAAGGAGAGAAAATCTAACAATCTGATGACAAGAAAAATGTTTTTTTCTTCTTGTTTACCGCGTTCCGGTTCTCAGAATATTTTCATTACTGTTTTATCATTCATCATTTCTTATACAAGTAACATTTATCATAGCACTAAAAACTGTGTTACAACTTGCAATAGTATACTTGATTAGGTCAGCACGTCTTAAATATCAAACATGGACGTAGACTGAAATCAAATCTTGAGGGAAAAGGGGGAAAAATTATAATATATTTTTATTACCGGAATTCAGATTGTTTTCAGTCGGACCTGAAAAAAAAATGTGCAGCAGTGCAAGTTAAAAAGCTAGCAATAGAAGGAACACTTTGTGAATTTCAATCTCATCGTGCTTCATATTCCTACCTGAATGTTGTATAAATAACATTAAATATAATATGTAATTTGACAGTTCTATGTAATAAACAGGCTGTATAATCTTTGAGTCCCTCTTAAGATTTCTATCGTGCAAACTTCAATTTATATTTATTTCCAAGCGTGTACCAATATTACTATTTGAATATTTGTATAAATCAACGCTAAGACATGCTGTCTGCTATAATAGAAAATTTATTATTTGACAACATCCTGTGTTGCTGATTCTGCATATTTTAAACATTTTATTATTCCCTCTTCAAATTCCATGTCCACTATCTAACTTTGTCCATTGTTTCTCGTTCCTCTTTCTTGGGAACCTAACGTCGTAGAAGGTAGCTGGAATTCGTCACCAAGGTCCATGAACAAGCGCTTCAACAGTTTTGATTTGGCGTATACGGCGAACGTTAAAGTTCTCGTGTTGCTTATTTCCACACACATATAAAACAATTAAAATATTCAAGAAAGAAAATGTGTCTCACGTATCAATGATCCTATTTATACTGACAATTGTCACTTTATCTATTTTTCTAACTTTGTTTTAAAGAGCTAAATACTTAACATTTTTGTATAATTTATAAACAATTTCCCAAACGGTGAGGGCATAATTGGTCCAATTAGCTCAAACAAGTAAGCTGATAAGCCTGACGGCTTCCGTCAACTAACAGACAGGAAAGATAACTTTAAGTGATAACATATGCATTTTAGATTCTTTGGAATAAATATCACCGCTTTATACATTTAAGATTTTTAGAAATAAATATCAGCGCTTAACAACGTGAACATATGTAAGTTTTCAACGTTTGGATAACCTGCATGAGAAGTAATAGTATTAATAACGAATTTTTAAAACCGAAAGAAAGAGTGGGCGTCAGATATTTTGTAACATCAAAACCTCACCCCTCCTTATAAGTTTAATTGTTTTCATGTATGTACTGTAAGACAAATGTATTAAATAAACTTACATAAACAAAAAATACTTTGTAAATATTGTCTAATGCAATTAACATTGTATTTAGATAAGAAATGTCAAAACAAATGCAAAAGAAGCAGAGGTTTAAAAATATTTAATAATATGCTTAATCGCATCACACATATATATATATATGTTATATATACATATTTGTACACTACATAGAGAAGGGTTTGGCCAAAACGTTTTTGAGGACCAACCCAAAAATTTAATGATCAATGCCACTTAATTTTATTATTAAATTTAGAAAAGAAACTAGACTAGCCAAAAGAAAACTTGAAATTTGACTGCATAGAAAATGGTAAAACATCATTCTTACATGTACTTGTACAATCCGACTTATTTTCTTTAACGGATTCCATTGAATTTTCAGGCGTCAAAATTCTTTCCTTTACAAATTAAGTTGAACTAAAGTTTTCGGAACATTTCGCGTATTTTGTTATCTTTAAACTATATAGAAAGATAAGATGATTTTATTGTGATAAAGATCAAAGTTCTTGAAATTAAAGAAGATACTGGCTTATTTATTGCTAAAAATCCCAAAATCATTATCTCTTGGTTCACTTAGAGCAAATATAACTTAAATACCAACGACCGTATCGAGCGCAGATATTGCTTAAAAATCCCAATCACTATCAGTTAGTTAGCGATACGTATCAGATAAAAGATTATTGTTCTAAGTTATTGCTCCTATAAAACAAATGTGCATTTTTTGAATGAAAATTGATATTGTGTGCGAAATTATTATATAAAAAACAAACATTGAGCTAAATTCAATAATTTTGACAACATCAGATACAGTGAATTCTTTAAATTTATAACAGTCTGTCAATTAGACTTTAGTTATAATTAGTATACATGTTCATAATAGCAATCATGCTTATATACGTCTCGTCTTCGTGTCTAATCGCAAATGAAATGGACTTCACTGCGCTGCGTTTTTTTACATGACTGGACTGGAAATGATTTTTCGAAATTAATGGTAAAACAAGAACCTGTGTGCAAAATATTGGATCATTCGTTCACTCGTTTTTTCCAGAATGATTATTCTAATTTTGAAAAATGATCAATAGTTGAAAAGCATTGCAACTCAACTCAAATCGGGCAATATTACAAGAAAATACGGTTTTCAATTTATTTTGACCGACAAAAACATGCGATAAATTGGCAACTATGAAATATGCACAAGTCCACTTGCGAATTTGTCAAGTAGATGGAAGTTTATCGTGTAAGGAAATTCAACAACTTACAAAGTCAGTTTATTTTAATTGAATTAATTTCTATTAAAATTTTCTTTATTTTCAGCAATATCAATTACAATAAAAGGTCAAGGTTATGTTCACTGGACGGAGCAGAAGTTACGCGGACCAGGCGAGCCAAGATTTAAAGACACGCATCATCACTCCGCCTCAGAAGACTACTTTGAACATACATTAGTGTTGTTTGGCCAAGGTAAATGTTTTGAAGCGTACAATTTCTAATTATTAAATAACAGAAAAGGAAGCAGAAATTATTTTACAAAAGTATCTTACTCAACAGATGCATTTTTACTTATCAAAAGATTTTTAACTACCATGACACTAATAAGGGGGATTAGGCTATAACTGCCAATCTCTTAGATAATGTTAACAATTGCAAAAAGAAAGAATCTATATATTTTTATCTAAACTCTGTCAATTAAAAGCGGTCATTAACAGGTATACCATATAAAAACTATCCAATGCATAAGGTATTGAAAATAAGATACTTGTTCAAAAGGTCATTTCCATCTTTTTCTCATGCCAACGAAACTAAACGATTTAATATTGGCTGCCTATTTTCATATTTTGATATTGAATTCTTTTTTATTTAGAGTAGTGCGTTACATCAATGAAGAAATCTGGCAGATGTATGACGAAGTATGTTCTTTGTGGCGGTATGACAAAAGTGGTGTTATCGCGTCGGACTATTAATCTAATGATCGCTAGCCGAATGGATTCAACCCCGTAAGGAGCAAGTCGTTATTTAATTGAGCAAGAAATTTTATACTCATTGCTCAGTACTGGTTGGTTACAGGAACGGATTCGAACGTGTGCCTATAAGCTTTTAGCTTTATACACAAACAAACTAAAATAAATTCTGTATAAACCAAGTATATTGTTTTTACAGGTAGTGGGGAACGCCTAGACAAATGTTACCTCCCGGCAGGACGATATACGTACCCATTCCAGTGCCAACTTCCGGCAAATATACCGTGCTCATTCGAGGGAGATCTTGGCTACGTCAGATACTGGGTAAAAGCGACAATAGAAAAAGGGAGAGAACTCATACATAAAACAAAACTTCCGTTCACAGTTATCTGTCCATTAGAATTGAATTCTGTTCCAGATTCCGATGTAAGTGTTAAATTTGAAAGACAAGTTTAGAATGTTAAAAAATGCTTTTATGAATGTTCCTGATGTTACCAAAAATACAAGAGTATCTATTCACACAATGTCATGATATGAATGTTTAAACCAAACTTAACACTATATATTAATTGATAATACAAACATAAAATAAAATACCGTAGAGCAAAATAAAAAAGATGCGTTGGAACCGAAAATTTAATAACAGTACAATATAAATATATTTAAATAATTTGGAATGGTGTCGTACGAGCTTATTTCAGTTCTTATTACATACATGTGCATATAAAATTTAAAGAGTATTTAGTTACATATAGGTCATTTTAAAATTACCTACATGTCGGACATCATGTTCGGCTCCCGGTTATTTTGTCAGGACGGAAAATGCTTATCGTTCCCCGCGCCTCCTTAAATCCTATCTTTGCAAAACTCGTGCTGAATGCTGACACGAAATGCCATAGCTAACCCCCGCTTAATCAATAGAGTTTATATCGTGCTTTCCATGTATTTAAGATCGATATACAACGCGCGGGAAAAATAATTTAATTTTATGGCGTAATACGTTTGTCTGACGAATGTAATCTATACGATATGTCTAAAACGTTCGTGACTGAGCATATAGAAAAGATCTTTCTTTATCCTTCTTGCATGCCTCCGGATAAGACACACATTTCAAGAAAATTAACTTTGAAAAGAAAGTACTTTTACTTTAAGACAAGAAAAAAAACAATCTCACAGTTCAAGTAATGATCTTGATTCTACATGTTATATGCACTGAATGATTTCGCAAAATTAATCACCATATTACTGCTGCTTTTCTTACACAATAAGGAACACCGCCTCCGTGGTCGAGGGATTAGAGTCGATGTCTTCTAATCTTCTCTGGCGTGGGTTCGATCCCCGGGAGATGCTTTGGTAGTTTAGCACGGAGGAAGGTAGTCTAGTATTGGTGTAACTCTCCTGTAGGAACGATGGTTAGGAAACTACCCGCCTATATGACTGAAATACTGTTGGGAAACGGCGTAAAATGAAACAAACAAAAACAATAAGGGCTATTTACATATTTTGGCCTTAATTGGTAATTTACTGGAAAAGTGCCGTTTGCTAGTTTGAGTAAATGACTTTCTTTGTTTACTTCACAGTGGTTTTCCTTTCAATACATTTCAAATTTTTCATAACAATAAGCATATATCTGGTGGCATTTTTCTTTAATAACGATTAATAATGATGCTTACATTACCATAAATCGTCTGTCTTAAAGGTTTTCAATAGTATAATAATAATAATAATAATAATAATAATAAAATCTTTATTTATAGAAGGTAACATACAAAGTTTAAAACAGTAAGAAGTATTACTTATTTCAGTTATGGGCCTTCTGATTAAACAATAACAAGAATAAAAAAGGTAGATCTATACAAAATTTAAAATCTTTTTGTATAAACAAAAACACAAAAAAAACAAATGATATATATATATTATATTATTCTTGAATGTAAAGGTTAGATATTTTTATTTATTCATCCGACTGACACTCATATTAATTATAGTAATTGTAGATAAACTCGTAGTGATTTATTAAAAAAGGAGAAAAAAGAATCATATCAGCATTTACAACAATTAAAATATAAATTGGTCAATTTTCAACATGTATCTAACTGTAGACTTAGAAAATAAATTTTACAGGTGTTTTTGAAGGATTTTAAAGTCGAACAAATTTTATTGTTTTAAAAGTCCATTTAAAATCGCTCGGGAGGTACTTTTTACATCGATATAATTACATAAAAATCAGTAACGAGACAAATTTGTGATATGCACAAAAAAATGAGTAATCGAGACAAAAAATAGCAATATGTCTTCAAGGCAATTCCAAAATTTTAATCTATACGTTTTAACGCTTTTAAAAACAAAATCGAAAATTGATTACCTTCCTGTGGTTGTTTTCTATAATCGAACAAGTTTTGTCGCTAATATATTTTTGTTTGTTCTTGAACGTTATCACGCGGATTAAAGGGACTCCACTGAGGTTTTTTTACATGACGGGACTGGAAATATTTTTTTGAGATTATTACTCCATCTGATGTAGGTCTATACCAACAACTTATGTGCAAAATTTCGATCTTAGTCGCTTGTTTTTTCCTAAAAATTTTTTTTAATTTCAAAAAACCCAAAAAGAAAAAAGCTTTAGTAAAGACTTTCTTTGTTACTTCACAGTTTAATACATTTCAAATTTTCATAACAAAAACATATATTGGGGTTTTTCTTAATCGATTAATAATGATGACATACCATAATTCTCTTTTTAAAAATTTTAAAGTAAATAAATTAAAATTAATTTTTAAAAATCTTTATTTATAAATAACAACAAATTGTGAATTAACATTACCAAATCATAATTTAAAAAAAAAATTCCAGGAAATTTTTAAGGTTTTTCTTTAAATTACCTTTGTATAATTCCTTTTGGTGCATAGGAAAAAATGTTTTAAAAATTTTGTTTGCTTTTTAACCTCAGGCCCCTTTTTAAAATTTTAACCTTTTGAAAATAAACAACAAATCCCGCGTTGAACAATGCAAAATAAAAAAATTTTATTTCATTTACATAACTTTTAAAACCCTTTAAAAAATTTTACAGAAAAAAAATTTTCTGCTTTGTTTTAAACCCAAACCAATAAACCCGTGGGTTTTCCCAAAACGAGATTTTTTTCCCGGGCGCCAATAAATTTGGTGTTAATTTCAAACCATCCTCAAAACAAAGGGGGTGCTGCTCGGGTAAAACTTAAGATGGGGTATATTTTAAATTTGATTTTTAATTTTATATCTTCCCTCAAAATAATTAAATTTTACAAAAATATTTCTTTCTTTTCCTTTTTTCTTTTAAAAAATTTTTTTTTTTCCCCAACATTTTTCTTGCATTTTTTAAAGGGTTGAATTTTTTTATACTCAAATAAAAAAATTTAAACTGTGCAAATTTTCAAAAATCAGAATGAAAATGTGAACAAATGTCTTTTGGCTTAAGGTAAAAAAATAGATTCGGTTTTATTGATACTGTTCATATAGAAAACCGAAATTGCAATATTTATCTCCTCCTCCATTGCACCACCGTTAAAACGGTATTCAAGTCTGATAGGTACATTAATCTTTTTTGCACTTAAGGGCTTACATTTTAACTTTTGATGAAAGCATCAATAATACTAAAGAAAGCAATTAAGTAACATCATAATTGAAATTTAAAAGTACTCGTGCAAACGTGTTGCTCTACAGGCAACCAAAAAAAAATGCCAAAAACAAGTAATATTTTTATATATTAGTTTATTAAATTTTTTTTTTTTCTTAAAGCATACTTTTTTCCAAAGCTTGTCAAACATGTTATAAAAATTTTTCTTTCAACCCAACATTTATTTAAAAACTTAAACATTCTTCCGGTCATACAACAAACAAATAGTAAAGGGAAAACTTGACCGGGAAGTTCGCCAGAGGAAAGAAATCAATCACGTGGTTTTGAATCAACTTGTTTACCCCATTCCTCCAAGTTGTCTTTTTGGGTTAATTAAGACATTATCATATTAAATACACGCTTTGAGTAAGTATTTATATTAATATATACAACAACAAACAACAAAAAAAAAAAAAAAAACATGATTCTTATAACCAAATTTTGATAAATAATTTGGAATTTTTTTTTTTTTTTTTTTTTTTTGTTGACGAGCGCGTTCCACTTACTGATTGCAAATAAGATCGTGGTTTTGATTGTTTCATGCATAGAAATAAAGTAATCCTTTTCACATTAAATCATGCTAAAACTATCCTTTCAAAAATTGTTCAAATTCAATGTGAGTAAAAAAGAAATAAACGACAGTATTTTAACCCCATTTCACATCTTAACCCTGATTTTGTTTTTATTTAAATTATATTTGTTTTGAAATGCAATCATAGTTTGCAGTAGGTTTTCATAATATTCAAACGTAATTAAACCATTATATTTTTTTCCCATTACGGAGATCCTTGGACCAGGCATTTGATTTAACTCTGCCTATAAAGCTTAAATAGGGAAACTTTACCACATCAGCCCAAAAACTACCTCCATCATTACGCTAATAATCATATACCATCGTGGCAATCAACACAGTAGTTCACGAAAAAGATCAAATTCAAACTATCAGTCAACACATAATCGCCATTAAACAAAATCGTCTAAAAATAATTTAGACAAAACAATTCCTCAAATAGCGATTCTAATACGAAAACAGGCACAAGCCAGCGAAAAACAGACTCTTCCTACCATTCAATTTCACCAATCAGAGTGCCTGAAATTACCAACCAAGGCCAAACTAATGGTAGCCCGCCCAACAAATTCAACCCAGTCCAAATTTAAAAAATTCATCAGAAAACAAGCTCCTTTCCCAAGTAAATCACGTAAATACCAGTTCGGCCTTCCCATCCCCTGCCTCGTTCCTCCCCGTCCACACATTCAGCATCATCGGTCATTCAATAAAAGTAAGTAACTAATTACTTTTCTTTTACACTTTTGTTTTGTTCTTTTAAGTAACATTTTAGACTTTTAAACAAATTGTTTACGTTTTATTTAATACCCTCCCCGGTCCAAAGGGCCCCGTCTTTTCATTTTGGACTTACCTTAAAATTTACACTAATATAAGAAAAGTTTCCACATTGGTCATTTTAAAAATACAAAAATTTAAACTTGGGATCTCATTGGGGCCATTCTAAAATAAAATGAAAATTTAAAAATTTTAAAATTATTTTCAAAATTTTCCTGCTGAAATTTAATCAGCAAAAATAAAATTCCTTAAGATTAAAATTTTAATTTTGATTTTTTTTAAAATATGCACTTGTAAAAGTTTTTTGGACCATTTTAAATTTTCAAAAATTTTTTTTTAAAAGGGACATTTTTCAAAAATTTTATAAACCTTTGGGGAAACAATAATCGCTCGGATCGTACATGAAAACACTCAATTTAATACATTTAAATTCTTTTGGTAATTTGAAAAAAAAACGGCCCC